TACAAATAATCTCTCACACCTATACCTCTCAAATACAAATACTCAGGATATGGACAATTAATCCTGACCTTTTCCCCCACACAAATAAGTAAACAACCCACAGATTCTCGGTAACTGGCAATTTTAAACGTGGAAACAATCAATTAATGTATTGGCTGGCGTCGAGAAAAAAAAAAAGTTACCTACATATTTGGGTAGCAATTCATTCTTCGGAAAAAGTCCCGTGACTGGTCACCGGGCTCTATAAATCACTGGAGGCCCCACTTTGGCCCGGCGTGCCCCATAAATATATCAGCCGACAATTACTTGAGTAACGTAACGTGGTACCGTATCGCTTCTACGATTTGTTGCAACACTTTACAGATCTTTCACATCGATTCTCAAGTGAGTAGGAGTAACTCGAAGTGCTTCTGTAATCACCTGTCAATAAAAGAAATAATCAATAAATCATTTTTATTTGCAAGAAATAAAAGTTTTGATGATGACCGTGTAGTCTCAGCATAGAATAGGCCACTTCTTCCTTTCCCGTGGCTATCGTTAGAGGCAACTAAAGGAATATAATGGTCAAGTAAGGGGCAACAGCGTTCCTCATAAAATATTACCAAGGCCTATTTGCGGTTGCCAACCCACTAAGCGCGGCAAATACTTGCAAAACCCCCAATAGAGGGCCTATGTTTAGCAGTAGAAAAATAACGGCTGATATAGGTACTATGGTATGGGGAGTTTTTTTTTTATACCACTAAGATGGCAAGCATGCATACGGCCCATCTAATGGTAAATGGTTACCATAGCCTATGAACACCTGCAATACCAGAGGTATTACGCGTGCGTTGCCGACCCTGAAGAAACCTCTTTACCCCTCTTTTGAAGAACCCCACGCTGTAGGCTCTTGGGAAACCTCGGCAGGGAGCTCATTCCACAACCTGAGTGTTCGTGGGAGGAAACATCTTTGAAACCGCACAGTACGCGACCATTAACGCTGTAGGACATGAGGATGAACTCCCTGTCGATGGCGAACTACTTATAATGCGGACTACCAGTCCCATTGCTAGCAATATACTCTGTCAGGTCGTCCTCCACGTGGCCCCCCTGGAAACCATCTTTTTTTATACAACTTAGAATGGCAAACAAGCCAACGGCCCACCTGATGGAAAGTGGTAACCATCGCCTATAGACATGAGCAGTACCATGGACATAACAGAGTATACTCTTTCGCCCATGATATCCCCCATGCGTTGCCATTCCTGAGGACTCAGTTGTTATTCCTCTGTACCCAGTAAATTCACGCCATATCCCACCCTTCACAGCCATGCAAACACAACTGTTTTACGGTTGAAACACGAATGGGACAGAGGTACCCAAGCAAATGACTTTTGTACAAAGTCTCCATCTTTCTAAATTCCATACATTTTCATTACAAGGGTCTAACTGACTTATCTTTTCATTCTCACCTGCCATCCCCCACTGGTGCCCCGCCAGTGTATACCGTTAGCGCAGGCGGGATTACCATTCCATTATCTACATTAAAAAAAAAAAAAGATATACTATGGTATAGCTTAAGTAGATGTAAAATTATCTAATATAATTTATACTCGTATGTATTGTACGTATCCATTATGCGCCATCAAACATCGCTTTACAGAGATTTGTATTGCTCAACGCGTCGACCCTTTGCATACAATATTAGTTCTTGCCGTGAACGTAGCTCCAGAGTCGTTACGATGAAAACATTTTCATATGAACAGTAATAACGGCCCTTGAAGGCATTTGCGCGGGCAATTTTTGAGCAATAATCGCTTGGCAACAGCGGCCGGTGGTTGGCTACTCAATTATGGAATTTCATTGGAATTGGAATTCACGTGGTCAATTAACACAGATAGATAGAGGTAAATTTTTTTTTTTATTGTTATTTCTATTTATTTAACTGTCCACTTATGGGCATAAGCCTTCCCCATAAGGGGAGTTTTGCCAGAAGTTGCCACGCTTGGCAGGGGTTGGCAATACCTATTTTATTTTACCAACCGTAACCTACCTATTTTAATGCTTATTTTATTATGTTTATATTTTACTAGCTTTTACCCGCGATTTAGTCCATGTAACAGGACTATGATCACTGATCAGGGTATAAAAAAAGAAACTCATTTTCACATTTATTCAATATTATTAAATATTACGATATAAATGCATAGTAATAATTACCTTTATTTTTTAACAATTTCAAAAAAGATGGTCTAACTTCGGATCTATTTTTTATTAATCAATCTGTGTACGAAATTGGTTTAAACCAATTTCGTACACAGATTGAGAATCCGTTATTGGCGTAATATAAAAATAAATAATATGGTATAAATATATGTTAATTATTTTAGATTTAAGTCATAGAGTCCAGAAGTAGCACTCATACACACACACACACACACACACACACACACACACACACACACACACACACACACACACACACACACGCACACGCACACGCACGCACGCACACGCACACGCACACGCACACGCACACGCACACGCACACGCACACGCACACGCACACGCACACGCACACGCACACGCACACGCACACGCACACGCACACGCACACGCACACGCACACGCACACGCACACGCACACACACACACACACACGCACACACACACGCACACGCACACGCAAACGCACACGCACACGCACACACACGCACATGCAAAATTGCCAAACTTTATATTGAAATAGTCATCGGATTTGTTAAATTAAAAAAAAAACAACCAACTGAAATGAGTTAACCTAATTCTCATATTACATAATTAGATTGTAAGATAATCACCTATAAATAAAGTAAATCCATTTGAACAGAGATGTATTTATGTATGTAGGTAATGAATTGTCGCAGGAGACTACGTGAGGCGAACGGAATTACACCCATCAATTTAGCTTGGTACTTTGAAAAATAAATACAGTTAGTTTCTATCTATCCTATTTAAGAGCTGCGCTCTTGTCGGTGGAGCTCTTGTCACTCACTACGATTTTCAGCGAGTCTCTTCACCTCTTGATACGACACGACACCAACTCCTTCCTTGATCTGCCTGATGTAACTATGCCTTGGTCTACCTCTTCCCTTCCTTCCTTCTATCTTACCTTCTATTATAATGTTCATTAGTTCGTCGTGTCGTATCAAGTGTCCCAACTTTTTTCCCCTTCTATACTCAATAGTTTTTATAATTTATCTGCTTTCCTTAACCCTAAGTAGGACCTTTTCATTACCAATTCGATCTCTCCGGAGAGAAAGGGATTGTTAACAATGGAGTTTGACAGCCCCATTGCTAGCAATATGCCCTATTAGGTCGACCTCCACATGATTTCCACTGGAAACCATTGTGAACAATTCTTGTTGAATTTGTCACGATGGGCTAACTGACCTGCTTCATCCTCACCTATCATCCTTCACTGGTGCCCCGCCGGTGTATACCGATAGCGCGGGTGGGGATACTATTCCATTATCCATCCATTAAAAAAAATCTATTTCTCCAACTAATTTATTTCATCCTTCTCCAGCACCACATATCAAAGGCTCTACATTTATCCATTTCCTTCTATCACGTCTCACATCCATACAGAGCTATACTCCAGATATAGGTCTTGATAAGCCGCTTTCTAATATCTATTGTTATCTTAGCCTGTTATCAGTTAGTTAGGTAGGTAAAATAAATTTCAGTTTTGCTGAATAATATTAGATACATAGTACGTTTATAGGCGTATTTAGAGGGGCAGGGGGGCTGGTGGACCGAGCCCACCTCATAATATATAATATAAAAATCTTATAACACTTTTGAATCAATACAGAAATACCTTGAACTGATATTAATATATATATATATATATATATATATATATATATATATATATATATATAACATATTTGTATGACGTATGATCCTGGCATAGAATAGAATAGAATAGAATGGTTGACTGGTAGAGAATGCCATCAGGCATGAAGCCCGTAACTTGTAAACATTTTGGAATGTGTTCAAAAGTATAAATTTTTATCCTCTTGCTTTCCTCTTTCTTTGTCGTAAGAGGCAACTAAAGGAGGGCGAGGGATATGCAGCGGCGTCCCTCTTAACACATCTCGAAAGTCTAACTACGGTTGTTAATCCGCCTGCCAAGCGTGGCAACTACTGGCGAAACCCCCCAAACAGGAGGCTTTTGTTCAGCAGTTCATCTATCGTCAAATATACAGTAGGTATACAAAAGTTGTACATTTAGTTAATTGTATACTGTACGTTGTATATTGTTTTCTAAGTCTTTATATGCATCATCACCTCATCATCATCATCTCAGCTGTTATCTCTCCACTATTGAACATAGGCCTTCCCCATGCACTGCCATAAGGAACAGTCCTTAGACACTTAGTCCTGAACCTTTTATAATAGTAATAATAATAATAAATCTCTTTATTTTCAGGTGTATACCCATAGTTTATAATTACATTATTAATTATACAAACTATTTTTTTTAAATACACATTAATTATAAAATACTTATTTAAATTATTTCATTAAAAAAAAACTTTCGTCGTCAGGTACGAGCATGCAGCGAGGAATACAGTCTTTACAATATGATTACTTGTTGTCATTAATCTTTGATGAAATTTTGCTTTATAATTACGTAAAATAGTAAAAAAATCATTAACCCTGTTCTCTGAGAACATGCCAGACGCACTACACCGCCATGGCAAGTTGAGCATCGCTCGGAATGCGTTATTGTATTGCACACGCAGTGTGTTGTAAGCTCTCTTTATTATCTTTATTTCTTTATTTATTATAAGTATAATAAATAAAAAAAATCAAAAATTTCACTCAAATCTTTACTCTCAATACCTACATATATTCCAAATTAATTTCTTTCCACCTACGATATATAAATTCTTTCATAAATTCTATTTGGTTTTCAATACCTTGTTATCTATTTGAAATTACGTTGCCAACCAATCTCTATTTGCTTTCAGATATAACAACAAGACGCCCAGCGATACGATTCAGATGAGAAATTTGGCTGACTACGCATTTTTGTGGTAAGTTTTCTTTTCTATTACTCCTGGAGATGGAATAGGCATAAGAATCTGAAAAGAGGCATAGATTGATAAGCATCATTATCTTCCTGCCTTTATACCAATTATTATTTAAGATGGGTGTAATATGTTTTTCCCTTCCATTTTTCTCTATTCGCAGTCATTTATGCATTTACTCCAAGTTTGGCCATATCATCTTTCATACAGCCCATCCAAGTCTTTTTGGACCTCTATCTTTAAAAAGCAATAGAAATCAGTAACAAAAAAATAATAATAAAAAGTAAAAAAGAATAAATTTTTTTAAGTAACTTAAAATGGCAAACAAGCTGACGGTCCACCTGGTGAAAAGTAGTAACCGTTGCCTATAGACATGAGTAGTACCATGGACATAACAGAGTATACTGTTTCGCCCATGATACCCCCAATGCGTATTTTGAGGACTGATGCGCCATTCCTGAGGACTCCGGTGTTATTCCTCTGTATATGGTACCTGTATATCCCATCAAACCGAAACACAGCCATGCAAACACAACTGCTTCACGGTAGAAACATGAATGGGGCAGAGGTACCCAAGCAAACGACTTTTGTACAAAGTCTCCCTCCGGTAATTTAGGTTATGTAGATAGGTCAAAAAATATTTTAATATTTTGAGCCTTTACTAAGAATGTCATAAAGTTAATATGGCAGGGTCAATTTTTGTAAATTCTTCCACCCATATTTTTATGGGGAAAATTTTATAATCTCAACATGTTCGGCGATTTTTTGTGGATTATTTATTTATTTATTTTCTCTTTATTGCACCACTTAAATAATAATACCAAGATAAATATATATTACACTTATGAAGTACAAAAGACTTATACTTATTGATTAATTATACTTAAACAATTTTCTTGTCATTTCCTTTCTGCGAACAGAGACATATGTATGTGTTAAAATAACAATACTGAAATAGAAACTATCGTAACGGATGCAACTAATGTATCAATCACTGTCAGATATATGATTGAACAACCATGTAACTGATTGGAATCATATCCCTTTGTATGCCATATAAAATTATGGTATACCTTTGTATTTCATATATTTTTTTTATCCAACTCTATATATGTATTAATATATCGTATTTATGTTTTAGATTGTACCGTCTTATGTTAAGTCAAAGGAAATTTTTAACTAACCACTGAGATACAGGCTTAGCCTAGTTCGGTGGCTAGTAGATGTAACTAGGTGTAAATTGTTATTCAATAAAGAATTATCATTATTTAAAAATTATTAAAAAAAAAGTCATTATGTGGTCCCGTCATAGAATGGGCGACACCCTATTGTCCTGTGGGTATCGTAAGAGGCGAGTAAAGGAACTTAATGGTTGAGAAATGACCAGCAGCGTCCATCTTAAAACATCACTAAAAGCCTAACTGCGGTTGCCAACCCACCTGCCAAGCGTGGCAATTACTGGCAAAACTCCCCTTATGGGAACTGGAGAGTAGACAGTTAAGGGATGACTTAATAATAATAATAATGGCTCACGAAGTGACCGAAAAGTGGGGGGTGACATCCACCGAAATCATCCCAATCGTTATGTCGGTGAACGGTCATATCCCAACCAGTCTGGAACAACATCTCAGACGATTGGGATTCCGGGGCGGTTCACTCCCGGGAAAGATACAGAAAGCGGTGCGATTCTGCCCGCATTGTACGCCGGTTTCTCTCCCTGGGGCCCTGAACGTCGGCCGACTGTGCTTCTGCCGGGGGTTAGTTGCCATCTCCTCTCCTTAAGAGGGGAGATGAGAATTTTTGTAAAGTTTAAAAAATAATAATAAAAAAAATATTCTTAAGACGTAATATAAAATTATAAACCCTAGTCCTACATAATCATGGGCTTCAATATATGGGATGGTTCGCTCGCATTGCCGTGCCCTAACAAACCTTATTATGGCCCTTTCGAAGAACACCGTGCCTCTAAAAATGTAACGAAAGTGAACTCCCACCGTTTTCCTTGTCATTGTTGTTGGCGAATGGGCAACTTAAGCATTTGCGGAAGGTAATTCCATGGAAACTGCACGGTACATAAATACTTTTAGAGTATGAGTGTGAAGTATTTCTAAAGAACAAGCTTAAGTGTGCGCGTTTTTGATTTTGAAACTACTGAATAAATATTGATAATTACTAGCAAAACTTTCCTTATGGGGAAAACTTATGGTCAACAGTGGATAGTTAACAACCGATATGATGATGTCATCATCATTGTGTCAGCCCTTAAATGTACTGAACATAGACCTTCCCATAAGTGGAGTTTTGCCAGTAGTTGCCACGCTGGGCAGGCGGATTGGTAAACGCAGTCAGTCTTTAGGTATGTTTTAAGAGGGACGTTGCTGCCCATCTCAAGCCCTCCCTTAGTCGGCTTTTTTTTCTTTTTATACAACTTAGAATGGCAAACAAACTGACGAAAGTGGAAAGTGGTAGCGAGTAGTGGTTCGTCCATGATACCCCCCATGCGTTGCCATTCCTGAGGACTCGGGTGTTATTCCTCTGTACCCTGTAAATTCACGGCATATCCCACCCTTTAAACTGAAACACAGCCATGCAAACACAACTGCTTCACGGTAGAAACACGAATGGGACAGAGGTACCCAAGCAATCGACTTTTGTACAAAATCATGGGCGAAAATACTCTGTTATGTCCATGGTACTGCACATGTCTATAGGCGACGGTTACCACTTTCCATCAGGTGGGCCGTCAGCTTGTTTGCCATTCTAAGTTGTACAATAAAAATATAATATAAAAAAATTGTACAATAATCGTCCATTTGGGTATCATTGTCCCATATATGTTTCTGCCGTGAATCAGTTGTGTTTGCATAGATGTGTTTTAATATAACAATTAAATTACAGGATATAGAGACATAACATCTTAGTTCTCAGGAATGGCAATGCATAAAGGGCTCTATGGGCGACTTCATAAACTCTGTTATGTCTATGGTACTGTTCATAGGCGCTGGTTACCACTTTTCATCAGGTGGGCTGTTAACTTGTTTGCTATTGTGATTTTATTATTTATTCAGTTATGATTATTTTAAACAATTTCCAAAAGAGTCTGTCTTTTTTTGTGGCTATGTTACCCAATTATCTTACCAATGCTAAACCGATTTTGATAATAATTTTAAAGTGTTCGAATATAGTCTCATATATGTTACTTAATTTTATGATAATCTGTAATTTTCTTTTACAAAATTCTTAATTTTAGAAAAAAAATAGTTTTGTAATTTAATTCATAACGCCTCAACACTTTGCGTGGCAAAATTAATGAAAAATCAATTTTATTTGATTGATACCAACAAAAACATAAACTTATTTGTTCCTATGGTTTTATACAGGTTTAACTTGAACAGATAGATAGATAGTGTTTATTATTCCCTCCAAAACATTACAGTAGTAAACTTGAAAAGAAAGAAGGAGAGAAACTTTATTTACAAACTTAGCAAAAATAAAAAATTTAAATTTATTTATTTATTTTTAATGAGGCACACATAACAAATTATAACCATGGTTTATATATAGGTAATTATGGTTTTTATACTAGGTTACAATTCAAAAACATGTGTACACAACATGATTAACATTTAGACGTAACATTTGAATTTCGACACGTGTTAAACATAATGATTAGTAAACATTATATATAATTTACATTAAATGAAATTTAAACCACAAAACTATCACCACACAAGAAAAACAGCCAAGCCATCCTAAACATCCAATACAAGGAAAGATTACACTATACACAAATATCAATAGTTAATATGAGACAGGGACCTTCAATAAAATAATTTTATATCTTTTTAAAAGGCAGACAACACATTGGCGACCTCTGGTGTTGTTAATATCCGTGGGCTGAAGTAATTGCATGTCTATTTACCGTCCTTTCACATAAATGAAAATAGTTCACCTCCATTCCCATTTACTCCAACAATCAATTGCTCTCCATTTATTCTCTCTCATTCTAGTTAGTTTATATAAAAATAAATATTATATTGTAGATTGGCCTCGTATCGTACGTAGGCGTATAACAAAGGGAACGATGGTATGTGAGATTTGGAGTGCTGGCCGACACGCCATCTATAAACAGTTCTTTGGCACGAAACTAGGCTTGGAATATTTTATAAGGCACAAGTGAAATTTCATAATGCTCCGCCAAATCATACGTCACTCCTGCTACGTCACATCACAATGTATGCTACAAATCACTTTAAATTAAATCACAGTTAGTAGTTGCGTTCGGATTTAATCGTGAGTCGTCGGCTGTGCTCGGTTAGCAGTGAAGTGAAAACGCAACAGACGACCGTTTGGGCTATACATAGCGAGCGAATCGAGACTTTATCACATTATGTTAAAGTCTCTATTTGCTTGCTCTTGTTATAAATCATTACAATAGCAAATAATAGCAAATAATTAGCGAGCAAAAATCACTACAACGATTTGTCACTTGTGATATAACCGTGAATAAAAATTTCACTGCCTTTATAACGAATTAAATGTAGCAATCATTTCCATGCCTACACGAAACGAAGAACAATATGGCCATATTAAATTCGACTAGCACGTTAATGCAATTTCGCTTTTATTATACCGGGGGATTTTTTTATTATTTTATTTTATTAATCTTTAACCGTACTGCATACGCATGATAGGAATATGCTAATGGACTGGGATAAAAAGTGGCCTATTTATTTATTACACTAGCGAATCGCCGCGGCCTTGCACGGTTTTATTTTTAATAAAGTACAGTCCATATTATCATCTTTCTTGCTGATATCGCCGCGTAGATTTCGGCATAGAATGGGACTTTGCCGTGGATGTCGTAAGAGGCGACTAAGAGAACATAATGGTAAAGAAATGGGTAGCAGCGTCCCTTTTTAAACATCTCTAAAAGCCTAACTGCGGTTGCCAACCCGTCTGCCAAGCGTGGCAATTACTGGCAAAATTCTCTTTCTGTGAAAGGC